GCCATCAGCAAATTGCGCACCTCCAGCCACTATATCTCCTCAGACTCCGTGCTTTGGTTTGGATACATTGGTTGGCTGCTCGATTCCGCGGTTCCTTAGTTGTTTCCACTTAACTTGCCTAGGCGTGCGAGTCGAAGTGATACATTCAACACGCCTGTTGCACATTCAAGTGTTGCTCACTCTTTTTCTTTCTCTGCTTCTGCAGCTTAATTCTAGTCTGCAGAACGGAGCAGAATCTCTCGCTCCGGATGGTCTCTTATCTTCTGCGTGGAGAGGAAATGGGGAGCTCATGGGGAAGGCTCCGTTTGACGGCCTTTTGGCGACGATCGTAGCGAACACCCCACCAGCACCTGCTCCCACAGCTTCTCTCTCTGAAACTTCTTCTTTACAACCGATCAGAGCTCGCAAAAGAAGCTGGCAAGTCTTTAACCATTCCTGTACAGACTGCCGATGTACCAAATGCTTCAATTCCAGGGTCTGCGTTTACTATGGTGGTGGATTTGCGCCCCTTCTGTTTATTCGTGCTTTGGCGGTTTAGGAAGGGTCCTTCACCGGGACCCGTTGCATTTGCTTCTCGCGTGCCCAGCAACGAGTTGAGTGACGATAAAGAAGATGCAGAAGTGGTGGGGCTCCGAAGTGATTATTTGCCACTGGTGTCTTGTGGCGCAGCTAAAGCTCTTATTTGTATCGGAGGTGTTGCTGCTGTAGGTACGTCTGCGCTGTAGGCATCTTGTCCCTTTTGGAAGCAAGCCACACGCAAATCGCACACTTTTGCACTAGGTCTCTATCAGACGAGGAGCGGATTTAACGTTTAGCCGTTGCAACAGCAATCACTGCTCCGCCAAAAGGCTATGAACAGTGACAAAGCCTTGACTCGTTTTGTTCTTGAGGCGCGCCTAAGGGATCAAGTCTCAAGCCCTTGTTGTATTGAGGGCTTTGGGTTTACAGGTGCTGTGGGTCTGCGACTGACACGGGATTACTTGAGGAAGAAGAGGAGGGCACGCTTGGGGGGTCCTGGCCCATCCACTCCCTTCAGCCGTCTTCTGGGTCCTGTGCTGCTAACCAACACTGAAGAAATGCAGAAGCCCCAGGGATTCATTGCAAAGCTGACGGGAGCCGCCGCTCCTCAAGAGACAGCGACAGCGCATGCACTCGGGGAACCTGGTAGTATCACGGCTCTCTACTTTACTGGCAAAGGCGTGGAACAAATACTTGAGGTAGCAATCACATTGTCAGCAAGCTGCACGTCTCTCCAATCGCCAAGATTTTATAGTTTACGGTCGACAGTTGTACCCGTGGATTAAGGGCTTCGTGGAGGTTTTATCTTTGCATCCGCAGACCAAGGGTTATGTCCCTTTTACTCCCCGGTTGAAGTCCATAGTAGAAGCCGCGAGGAAGAAGGGCAGGAAGTTAAATGTTGTATTTGTGTCGGCGGATGACTCAGCTGCAGATGCCGCATCTCTGTTCCACACAATGCCCTGGTAAGAAGCACAAATTTTAGATCCTAGCTCATCAAAGCACTTGTGTCGTTGTGGTTCTTATCTTCGCTGTGGTACTTTACACTTTAGGGTCAGAACGTTCAAAGAGTGAGGATTTCCGGTCAAGGCTGCAGTGGCTGTGACTAAAGGCTGACGGTATGCGTGCAGGCACGCGGTGCCCTTTGACGACTCAGAGGGCCGTGCCCGCCTACGTTCCTTGTATCGGCGGTTCAGGGTTTCTTCTTTACCCCATATTGTGCTGCTAGAAGACAATGGGAGGGTGCTTAACCCTCAAGCTTACTCTTCCATGCTCGCCGACCCTTTGGGCTTTCCTTGGCCTAAGAAGGACCCGCTGCAACTTCTTGGGGACAAACTCATCGACAACAAAGGAGAAGCTGTGGACCCTGTGTGGCACGCACACTGGGAAACAGAAAAAAGCATGCATACATACAATAATCAGCAATCTTACAAGCACACAAACACACACACACGCACGCTCACACACACACACACACAGAGACATAGACACACACACACGCACATAAACACACGCACACACAGCAAGCCATCTGGATGCCCGGTGAAAAATTATCGCGCGTTCGTAGGTCAACTTTTGACTGCGTCTGTTTTTGTGAATTCATGCCTCCATATTTGTCTGTGCGTCCCACTCCAATTCCTCTTGAAGATCTCTTTTTGTTTCTCTTTTCTGTTTAGTCCTCTTTAGCCGGTAAGACGGTCGGCATCTACTTCAGCGCCTCTTGGTGTGGGCCGTGTCGGAATTTCACACCTAAGTTGTCAGAAACCGTGAAGAAACTGAAAGAAAGGGGGGAACCGGTGGAGGTGGTTTTCGTCTCGAATGACAGAGACGAAGAATCATTCAAAAATTATTTCAGTAAAATGGATTGGCTTGCCGTGCCATTCAGTCGAGCCGCCACAAGAGCGCTAGCGCAAGTCCGCCTTTTAATTCCTCTTCGTCTTCGATAAATGTAGATCTACATTGCAGTTTCGTGGACCTCTATAGGTGTAAGAGTATGTGTGGGTGAAATAATGGAACACAAATAGTGCTTCGCTGTTCTTATGTTTACTGTTTGTTACAGGTTATCGTATCCCATATGCCAAATAGTACTGATAGCTTTACTTTTTGGAGTATGGAAAGCTGCTGTTCACTTGTGCAGGATGCTTTGGGGGTTCGTTCTTTGCCGACACTGATTTGGGTGTCCCCAAGAGGAGAAATTTTGACGCGTCGAGGTGTTTCTGCAATTTTGCGGGACGGAGAGGGAGCACAGTTCCCCTGGAAGGAAAAACCCGTCAGGGATATAGACGAGGCTCTAGAGATTGTGGCTGAAGAACCAGTTGTTCTTGCTTTCCTGGACTTAGCTGACGAAGAAACTCAACGCGAGACGCTGAAAGTAAAGCATGCACTGTCAATCTCTCACATGCACAAAAGGCAAACTGCTAGGGGTTCCGTGCAGCTGACCCTTGTTGTAATCATTGCTGGTGTAGAAGTAGTCGTTTAGGACGTAGAGCCTGAGGGTTTGCGTCTAGGATCATAGCCTCCGAAGTTCACACATTTGGCTTTAGTATTTACTGTAGATAGCCTAGGGTGTAGGAGTTTGGAGTCTACGCTTTAAGTCCCGGGGTCGGGGCTAGAGTCAATCGTTTTGACGTTTCCGATTGTTTAGTTCTTAGTTCATAATTAGTCCTACTGCGTCGAGGGCTCAAAGCATGCCTTTTTAAGCAAGTTGGTGGGACATCAGGTGCTGGAAGAGGCTGCGGTGTCGCTGAAAGCGACGGAGACAGGAACTTCGGTGGGCCCTGTTCCTCAATTCCTCACGGCCAAGGGCTCCTCTCCCAGGACTTCGGCGCTACGTCACATTTGTAAAGAAGGTCTCTCGCCATCTTCTTACGCAAAATCTAAAGTTTCTCTGGTAAGATGTGGCTGACCTGACGCAAACTTTGGTGTATCATTACGCATGCAACCCACAAACAACGTTCTCCACTCTGTGAACTGCTCCGCCTTCAGGGCTTCAGAATGTAAGACTGAAGACCCTGTATGTGAAGATTTGGGTTCAAGATTTACTTTGTAGGATAAGTGGCCCAGCTTGTAGTGTTAATGGCTTAGTGGTTCGGTTTTGAGACATGTGTGCAGCTGATCCTTGATATCTATAGCCAAAAGGTGTACGCCTTCCCCCATGGCAATCGAGAAGTCACAAAAGAGAACGTTTTGGAGTTCGTAACTAAGTTCAGGAACGACGAACTGGAGGGAAAACCCATAACTTTGCCGGAGTAGTAGGATAACTGGACGAGTCTGGCACTGATCGCCGCGTAGTGGTCACCCGGAAGCGCGCGAAGGTATCATACGGGGGCGTTTGAGGTCCCCGAATGGTTTATACAGAACCCAAAGGGACTCTTATGGTGTCTCCTACGGTGTGCCTCCAGTGGCCCCCCGGAGAGTCCCCAGGGGACCCCTGCATCACGTGCAGGAGGCTGTAGGATACTACATAGCCCACCCATCATTTGCTTTTCTTCATGTGCTCGCGCCTAGTAGAGGGAGAGACGAGGACTTCGGGCGCGAGACAGAGAAAGGAGACATTGTCTCTTACCTGCTCCAGTTTCCTTGTCAGGGTATGCTCGTAAGCTTGCTGTGGGAATTAGGATGCCGTCTCTCCAAGGCTGTCGGGCGTGAGCACCGCACTATTCGCAGCGTGGTCCGCTTCGGCTGGGATAAGTAAGCACCGGCACTGCTGTTCGCCGCAGTTGTAACACCACCGACAGTACTAGCAGTGCTAACAGCAGTACTAGTAATAGCTACAGTAGAACTAGTTGCACTGCAAGTGATCGCAACAGTAAACTCGCAGTGACGCCATAAAGAGGAGCAGCAGCTTGTAGCACAAGCAACAACACTGAAAGGTGCACCAGCAAAGGTGGCAAAAGGAGCGCTTGCAGCGGCAGCAACATGGCGAAGTGCAGCAGCAATAGCAGAATCACCAGCAACCGTAGCACCAGAGCCACTGTCATGGCCAGGGGAGGCCCTGCGCATGTACGAGAAAAACCAAGGAGATAAAGGAGGGGAAAAACAAATACGACAATCATCACTGTGCAAAGTGAGGAACTTCCGGTACTCATTAACAACAGAAAGAAGCGGCAGCTCCTACATAAATGTTTACAAACTGCCACTCAGTTTTACAGTTCCATATAATTTTAGCACCAGGAAAAATGAATACAAATAGTGCCGCCCGACGAGCGGAGAAATGAAATCGAAAAAACCAGACTAAAGCGACGAAATAGCATGTCCTCGGTTAAGGGTTTAGGGCATAAAGCTTCGCGCCTATGCAATAATCCTCTGGGCTGAAAAGGACTGAAGGGCTCCCAGACTTATTGTGTGCCTCCTTGCCTTCTTTCTTGCCACTGAGGCCCTTCCTATGACTCTCAACTATTTCGTCCTCCAAAGAAGCCCCCTCTTCCGAGGGCTCCTGAAGGAGCGGAGGCCTACATCAAAGGGTTCCGTAAAAATGCCTCCATTTAGAGCTGCTCCTGAGGGTTCCTGGGGCTGCTTTGTACTTTTGCCCTCAACCAGTCGCGAGCGCCCAAAGCCGAAGCAACTTTATTGAGGAACGGCAAAGCCATTATCTCAGACAAGCGAAACTGCACAGAGTGAAGGGGCAGCACACTCCGACTCTTACCACTACTATTGTTGTTGCAGCTCCTGCTGCTGCGAATGCCGCTGCTACTACTGCTGCTGGTGCTCGTGCTGGTATTGCTGGTGCTGCGGACCTGCAGAGACCGTTCGTAGGTACTGTTGGAACTGGTTGTGCCATCGGCTATTGTCGCAACCCCGAGATCAACAGCGGGATGCCTCCGCGTTGAGCCTCTTCGATGGACGTCCGTGGGTGACTGCGCAGAGCCCTTCCTGGAAGCGGGGTGCAGCTCTTTGAAATCGCGGTAGTACTCATCTCTTTCTTTTGTTTTACTGACGCTGCCTCCCCCCACGCCCTTTGGAAGTTGCGCCTTGGCTGCTTCCAGGTCTCTGGCTGTACTGGAGGGCTCTTGAGGGGGCCCGTCTTCTTCACAGATGCGAGGAGGCGCTAAAGGCCTCATGATGCCCTCAGTGGACTTCTTTAGTGCTCGTGTGGTATTTCTCACCAAGCTCTGGGGTCCAGGGACAAGGTAGCGATGAGCACGTATCTTCCGTGAAACCTGCATGCGCAGCGTGCGGGAGCCATCCGAGGAGGATGGACTACCCCTGCATTGAGAATCCCCCACAATGGCATTTGCCCCTTCCGTCCAGCCGGAATTTTGGCCCTCCGGAAGGGTCTGCTGGTCTGCACAAAACTGGGAGGCCTCAGTTTGAGGACATCGCTTTCGTGTCTTTTGATGCTCCATATCATCTGCGGAGGGGCTCCGACAACCTGAATCCTCGGAACTTCGACGAGAACTCTCTTTCTCCCAAATATCATTCTTCACAGGTGTGAAATGACTTCCATTATTGTTCGAGGAGCCTTGCTGGCAACTTCCACAGTTATCCTCTGTACAGCACGGTTTACAGAGTTCTGCCGTGGGGCGACTCTGGTGGGGCTCCACATTCATCGGTCTATTTAGAAGGCCGTCTCCTGCGTTGGGCACGGTGACGAGAGTTTGCTTTACGATCGGCTGCAACTGCTGATTTATCTGCGGCTGATGCTGCTGTTGGTTGTCTTGTGGAGGAGCTGAGTAGCAACCATCCATCGCAGCAGGCCTACCAGCTTGACAAGATCGCGACCCATGAAAATCGTTTGATGCCTTTTGGGGGTCCGCTAATGTGCCCACCAAACTCCTTCCCTCGTCAGCATAGTCAACACGCCCGCTATCTCTATCCCCTAACTTCTTGGGCTCCCCGGAGGTCTTTGATCTGGCTGTGTCGGGAGCAAACCGTTCTGCCACATTCTGGACCTCAAGCATTTTTGTACTTTCTTCTCCCTTAAGCTCAACAGAAAACATAAAAGTATGCGCGAAAGGGTCACTCAGTTGCTCCTCAGTTGGTGCATCGGCGAAGCGTTCTAGCGGCACCTGATAAGCTCGTTGGTAGCTCGGACTTGTTGGAGCCAAATTTTGAGCGTCTCTGCAGGGCGTGTTGCCAGAATAATCGGAAGATCCAGATAAGCAGTTGCTGTTGTCTTGGACATAACTATTCTGAGGTTTCTCCCTTGGGTCTGCATTAGAATAGGGAGATATGGGGGACAAGCACAGGCGGCCAAATGCCGCTGCTGTTGGAGAGGCGAATGTTGAGTCGCTTGATGTAGGACTGCGAGTACGTATATCCTCCTCAGCCGTAGGGTTTTGCGCTTCTACGCATGCTGCTGCTGTTGCTGCTGCGTTTGCCGTTGCTGCTGCTGGACTTGTTGCTGCAGCGGTGGCGCTCTTCTCACAACGGAGATAAGCTGGTGTCTCTAAGACATCTGCTGGAAGTCCCCTCCATTCTAAGAAGGTTGAGGAACAGGGAGTGAGAAGCCCCTTGCTCTTGCTGCTATTGCCGCCTGTCGGGATCAGCTCACATATCACATCAGCGGCCGGGGCTCTCGATGCCCTTACTGCTGCTGATGACAACTGGAGCGAAGGAACCGGGGGTACGGCGCTACAGCACGAAGAGATAGCGATATGTTGCTGCTCCTGCTCCTGCTGCTGGTGCAGAGACAAGCGAGCAGCTGCGGCCAAAACGCCAGCAGTTGCTGCTGCTGTCACTGCCGTTGCCGCCGCTGCTGCTACTGCCGCGTCTGCCGCTGGGGGTGGATCGACTGCTGAAGCTTTGGACGTGAATACATAGCCAACGTCTTTCTCCTCGCACTCCATCGAACAAAAATGATCGGCTACTGCTGCTGCTGTTACTGATTCGGGACGTTCATCACGTGGGGAAGCCCCCCTTGCAGTCTTTGCTGCACCGGACGACCTTTTCGAAACCTGGAAAACAAACTCAGGCCTTCAATTCACAGCATAGCGTTAGTCTAGGCGTTTTTAGTGTCGCGTGGAGGATCTCAGTCGCGCACTTGCACACCGTTTCTCCACATTTGCATGTTCCCTCCTCAGCATCGGCCACTGTATATGCCCATGCGGCGCTACAAATTGTTTTACTTCTTGGAAATGTGAGTACTTATCAACATCTCTAGAAGGTGGCTCGCTAGTTGGCCAGCTCATTAATGTTCGCCTTCCCTCTACGCCGTGACTGCTAGAAGCACTACCCCACAAGCTCTTCTTTTGCTTCTTTCATTAAGTAGCCGGCAACCTAAAAGCATTCCCATTTGCTGTCTGGCTGCCTAAAAAGTACCTAACTAGCTCGCCAACTGTATGCGGGATGGGGTATGGGGTATGGAGTGGTCAACAGGCGAGGTCTTACTGCTTGCTTGCGCCGGAGACTGCGAACATAAGCATCGTCTTGACTGTCTTTGCCTTCTAAAATTATGCTGTTGTCTCTCCCCTTCTCCGCGTCAGACCGGTGGGGACCCCCTGGAGGAGCGCTGTTGAAGAATGAGGTATCTTTGTGCTGCTCTAATATCACTGACTCAGGGGGCTTCCCGCGGGGCCCCTGTCTGGGCTGCTTCAGCCGGCCCGAGCAGTTGCTCTGCTGTTCACCAAATGAAGTGGAAAGCTGCTGCTCCTGCTCCTGGTGAAGCTTCTCAAGCAGCTCCTGCTGGTAGTGATGGTCTTGGTAAAGATGACGTTGCGGTTGATGCTGCGCTTGCAATTTCTGTTGCATGTTCTTCGGCGTCGAGGCCGTCGCAAGTGGTCGTGAAGCTCCTGCTGCTACAGCGGTTGCTACTGCTACCGTTGCTTTTGCTGCCCCCGGTCCCGTCGAAGGCGATTTTCGTGCATCAATCTTTGGCCCAGTTGTTACTGCCGCTGCTGCCGGCACTGGTGGCTTTGCACCAGTGTCTGCAGCACCACCTATAGGTCTAGGTATCCTGTAAAACCAAGGATGTGTAAGCGCCTGCACTGCAGCACAGCGTCGCGCTTGCTGTCGTGAGCACATCCAGCCAATAAGATCTTTGGCGGAGTGACTGATGCGACTCCAAGTCGGGTGAGTGAATGCCAGCTGGCACCTGAAGAGACACCTCAACGCCTCTTGTGCGCGCAGAGCATAAAATGCACGCGGGACTGCAATGTGTGTACATCTTGAGAGCACCCAGTGAAACTAACGATGGTGAGCAGTAAAATCAGACAGGCGCAGAGCAAAAAGAATGAATAGGTACACAACAGACGTAGATGCTGATGCACTTAAGCACGGCTTTTGCAGATTCCAACACATTCGACAAAACACGCTGCATTAAAGGGTTGAAGTACGAAGAATGATTCCTTGAAAAACAAGCACTTGTTTGGTCTGTCGAATGCGACGGCACGCCGGAGCAATAGCATGCAAGCCTGTTTTTCGATTTCTCTGAATCATTGAGCAAACAGAGCCTTTATTGTTAGCAAAAAAAGAAAACCCGAACATAGCAAGGAGCTTGCATCCGCCTTCAAGCCGCGTGGGTTAAATCCGCAAGGATTTCCTCTGTAATGCTTGGCTTCAAATTGTATTTCCAGGTGTTTTTCTGGTGCTTAAGGTATAGAATAAATTTGAAGGTTTTCTGTACGTCCTTTAGGCTTCTTCACTGCAATGTTTAACCACAGGTACAGGATTCACGGTTCACAAGTAACGGTTCATGAAGCAGCGCTGACCTGAGGTTCCTTTTCAGTATCTCCTTAACATTCTGTCCCCTAAATGGAGGAAAGCCAGCCAAAAGAGTAAACAGAATAACTCCCGAGCTAAACACATCTACTTTAGGCCCATATGGCAAATCTTGGAGAATTTCTGGAGCTGCACCCACAAGCCACAATGGGTCTGCGTCGGAGCTTTCAAAGTGCTGCTCAAGGTTCTCCTGGATGCTACGCAGGGCACATATTATGCAACAAAGGACGACCACTAGGTAGCACTAGCAGCTCAAAAAACCAGCAGTAGCACCACAGGCAGCAGCGTTAACAAGAATCAGTCCTTCCAGTAGCCTCGTGACACTGAAGAAACAAAAGAGTCGCCCAAAAAAACATGCCCAGCAAGAGAACTGAACGCAACAAAGTCCCCTTATGCTGCCTTTGCAGATTCAGCAAGAGCTACAAAAGTGTGCTCCACAATCAAAGCAACCACAGTAGCAGCAACAGGAGTATTTGTGGCAGCAGCACACGCAGTAGTAGTTATCAGCAGTGCTGTTTTAGTAACTGTGGTACGTTCACCACTGAACAGCACTGAGCACAGCAGCAGCCTAAAGTAGAGAAACAGTAGATTCCAAGCAGCATTTTTATCTGGATCAGCACCAGCAATGCCACACGCAAAGCAGCAGCGCTTAAGTAACATCATCAGCTACAGCAATATCAACAAAATCTTTGCACCTTTTACAGCAGCCTTAGTAGAAGCGGCAGCAGCATAAGAGTAACTACAGAAAGAAATACAGTGGCCCAAGCGACAACAGCCAGGCGGCCAACGCGGGATACGTATTGACAGCAACCAAAAGAGTGTAACACGCTCAAAGGCAAATGGAACACCACGCATCCGCAGTAAACAAAAAAAAACAGTGACATCAATAGCATTACATTTACCATCACCAGCGAAAAACAGCTGCACCCGAAAAAAACACCTGCATTAACGGAACTACCTCCAGCAGTAGCAGTCTGCATAAGAATTAGCAGAATCTTCGGGGTGATCGTGATACGTTTCAGCAGCAGTAACGGCAGCACAATTGCGATTGTTCTTAGAAGCAGCATTCCACCGGGAGCATCAGCAGCGCTCAATAAATATCAGTACAAAAATACTCTTGACAAGTATCAGCAACCTTCATCTTCACATCATGTCAGCAGGCAACAGCAGCACCAGCACATCAGCAGCATTAGCAGCAGCAGTTTCAGGATCATTAGCAGCAGCCTCAGCGGCAGCAACAGAAGTCTGACCAACGTATCCAGGCGAGCCGCATCTCATTTTCATTGCTGGAGAGCCGACGGTGGCAGCCAGCCCAAAGTCGATTAGTTTGATGGACGCTGGATTAGCAGGGTTTTCTATTATCAGGTTTTCCGTCTATTTGCACAAACTCAACAGAAACACTGTTGACAACGATAACAATTCGAGCAGTGATAGCCACTACAGTCATCCCTGTGGTGCGCACGGTCATGAAGTGGATATACGGCGAACAGGCAAGCAATCGATAGCATCTCTCTGCTACTCATGACTCGTGCATTAAGCAGGAATAAGGTGACCTTTTACCGCTCTCTTGTGCTTCTGCTTTCTTTTGCGTCTTTAAAATCTCTGTCTCTGGTTTGTGTGCTCCCTTCATGTTTCCCTACAGGTTGGTTGCTCTATCTTTCATGCTGCTGTTTTCCATCGTACTCTCTATGCTTCGCCTTCTCTGTGCCAAACTTTCTGTTTCTCTCAAGACGTTAAGTAGACTGGGACTTTCTGCGCCCTTATCCTTCTGTTCTTGGCTATCTACTAGTTGTCCTCATCTGTTGAGATGCTCAACTACTGGTGCTCGATTTGTCACTTGCCACAGAGCTGTAATAGGGAACGCCGTTACCATTAACCTTATTGCAGTATTTATTCTCTATCGTTTCAATTCGTGAAATTCCGGCAAATGCCTATCTCCTTCAATAATTGCTACTTAGCCCTACGTTGAAATTGTAATCATAATACACTGCTATTTTTTGGTCGCCCCTCTTCGTGCCACCTAACCTTCAGGTCTCTGTGCACCACCCCCTTGGAATGAATTTCTTGCAGGGCCAGTAGAACTCGTCTGATTGCAAAGCGCGCCTGGTCTTCACTGAAAGGCCCATTGACACTTAAGTATTCAAAAAGTTCGCCACCGCGCAGGTACTCCAACACCAAACAAACAAAGTCCTCTGAACACACAAAGCACATGGGTTGGGAGGCACGCAGAAAAGCACGTCTGTGTGTAAAACACTGCTCTTTGTTGCTATGTTTAGTTATTCACTTGCTGCCTGTAACCTCAAATTCATGTTTCTGATGCTTGTGTCAATATATACCCGTGTACAAAAATTGTGCTGATCTCTGCATGTCCGCGGATCATTACACCTTGCCGTCCACTTGCATTGACAAGTATTGAATTCTGAACCCTAGGCCTTAAACGTCACGGTCTCCACATACATAAAGTGACAAATATGTGTCTATCCGTGTCTGCTGCATCTATCTCTGTGTAAGTCCTGTTCATGCTTCCTATCACTGCATCGCTTGCCCCACTATATCCCTTCTTTATTGCCCCTTCGCCTGCTTGCACCTCACTGCTTTGCCATCTGCCTGTGCGTTGCTGTGCTTCCTTCTTTCTACACCACTATCTCCCTGTGAACAACGGTACTGTACTTCATCGTTTTGTCCTGACGTTTTCGTCACTTGTTTCTCTGGCTCTTCCTCACGTCTGACAGCATCGTTCTCCGTGTGCCTCTCTTGTCTATGCCTATATCCGTGTCTCTAGTTTCTTTTATTGCTTTGCTTAACTCCTTCCACGAGCCGCACTTGCCTTTGCAGCTCCTTCCCTGTCTATCCTTTTCTCTTGTTCTATCCTTGCTTTCTTGTCTGGCGCTGTGTTTGCCTAATTCTGTCACACTCTGGCCTCGATTCTACTTTGAACTTGGTTTCTCTGCTCTCTTTCATGCAACTGGTCCCTTTTCCAGCTTCTTTTACTAGAAAATCGTGCTTATGTTTCTTCAATGGACATACACCAGGACATCAACGAAGGAAATACGCACTTTGAGGATCAAAGCACAAAGACAGATAACAGAGCAGAAGCAAGCTGCGTGGCGGCCAAACTGAGGCGTTAGAGGGGTATAAAAGTTACACATAGAAACAGACAGAGGCAACGAACATTCATACGTGCGAAGGCGCGCCTAGCGACAAAGACGAGTGTCAAGGGGGCACCGTGACACGCGGAGATACAGATTCGTAAAAAAAAAGCGTGAGATGAAGAAAGTGGATGGTGGCGCAGACTGCAGACAGAAAGATACCAAGGAGGCAAAAAAAGACGTCGAAAGAAAGAAGCCGTAGCCAGACGGCCATCCTACCTTGCTCATAGGCTGCATAGAGTCGCATTATGTAGGGATGTGTGACCTTGCGCAGTACTTCAATTTCTGTGTACACATTGGATTCCAGCACCTTCTTTTTGTCTACTGCCTTCACCACCACGTTCTCCCCAGTGAACAAATGTTGACCGACGTAAACTTTGGCAAAACTGCCCTCTCCTGCAGCAGCAATTGAGTCGAAAATGAGACTCGCATGCAAAGAGCAACCAAGACAGGAAAAGACGGGAGTTTAGCGGGAAGAATGAAGCACAAATGTAGGCGGCAATGAGTAGTAGACGTACAACACGAGTGCACGAATGGGATGCATTAGGCATGTACGCTGACTAAGTGCATCTACAGATAACAGGCACGATACGAATAGTAAGTACATGCATGAACGTATGAAGTGCTCATGCTGGACAAAAATGACGCTGCTGATGTTGTGTGAAACACGAAATACTGGGACAAAAATAACAAGGCGAAATTACAAAACACGGCACGCAACGCGCACAGAAAGCTTAAAGCCTCGACGAAGCCATTACACGGAACTTGGGAGGAGTGTTGCCGAAACTCACGCAAACATGAAATTAACAGAATTCAACCCTTATGTCTGCCAGTCTCAATTCTGTAGACTTTTGAAATAAAGAAGCTTTAGTTGAGCGGTGGGTGTCGGCGGGAATGATGCCTGTGTAGGTGCTTCCCCTATCTTGTCTTTAGTAAGTTGCCTTCCCTTCACCGTCAATTTACACTTAAAAACTTAATGAGCCCCTGAATCGATACACTGCTTTAAACTAAAGGTAGAGGTTGAACGTATCCAGTGAACTCGTGAGCATGGTACCTATGAACTCGACGAGGCGGTATAGATCCGTAAATTTCAAAATAGAGACTCCTAAATTTTTGAGAATTTCCAACCAACGCGAGCACACAGGACGCGAAGGGCACTGAAACTCAAATTCTCCAGCTGAAGATATGATGTACAGGCATGGCCTAGAAACACAAACCAGAGACCGACAGGGACAGGCGAAGCCAGGAGCATGGGTACATACACAAGAGCAAGAAATGCAAAATCGACCCAGCTAAATGCACCAATGGAGGGTATGGCAGACAAACAAAGACATAGGAAACAGATAGGCAATTAACAGCAAAGACGAAACGGCGTGATCCGAGCAATCAAACCTCAGAAACATGAAAAGTCAACAAACGGGGGTAAGCACCCACAAGGGCAAATGCAGCCCAGCTCGAAAATGAGAGTTCATACATGTAAGGGAAGAACAAGAAAACCACCAAGGAGCCACAGACAACTAGACACCAAGTTAGGTATACAAACAGAAAGAAGCAGCGACGAGTCAGATATACGAGGCACAGAGACAGACGAATATAAGCGAGCACAACGAGATTAAAATGCACGCCTACCCTTATGCTTTGAATATCTGTCCAAGAAAATGCATACACAGTAAGGTAGGGGCGGGTAAACAAGCGGATGAACAGTAAGCAAAGACAAAGAGGCAGTGCTGCTCGAAAACATGGAAGATTTGCACAAACGGCAGACGTGAATGCTCGGCAAAACGAGAGGATCATTGAAACATATACGAATGCGATAAAGAAGTACAAAGAGACAAGACGGCATAGGCCTTGCGGAGGAGAAGCAAAGAAAAAGACAATAACAAACAGGCACAGATATTAACACAGTGACAGGACTACAGAGCACATGAGAAACCCAGCAACAAATTACAGGCACACGCGCCCCCCAAACACATACAGGCCAGTGGGATGGCAAACACAGCATAAAACAAAAAGGCACGTCAAAGTGAGCAGAAACAGTGGTATGCAGACGAATGGAAGTAGCAACATACATGAGAAAATGCGCGGAGATCGACACGTAGATAATCATTGGCGAAAACAAAAATGAGAAGACAGAGATGGTGAAATAAGGATAAGCAAACACCAAGGATGAAAAGAGACAAGATATGGGAAGAGAAGAATGACAGAGAGCATGGAAGATGGCCAGGCCGGAGAAATACAAGGATGAATCTTAGAAAAGGTGCTCTCAGCACTTAAGTGTTCGTTTCAGTTATGTTCACCCCCACCCTAATTCTGTGATATTGTTCACGACGCGAGAACCCTTGAGGGGAATCACAAAGAGGGGAGTGTTCGACTCTCCATTCACCCAGCAGCAAAGGTACGGGGGTCCTGGGGGATCCTCAGGGCCCCTGACGTGGGCTCCACTCTTTGGATCGACTCCGCGTTGGTGGCCGATCCCGCGACGGGAGTCCAGGCCATATTTCGTGTTGACATCACGGGTGTGATTGGGTCTACTGTGCAGATCAAGTCCAGGAGGAGGATCAACCTCGATAGAAACGAGGCGAGTGGCACCAGTGACCAGGGGCAACTCTGTTCTTCCCTTCAGCTGGTGCAGCTGCTGCAGTTGCTGCACTTGCTGAATCTGCTGAAGTTGGTGCAGTATTGGCTCCATTGTAATATGGGGGCAGTAGAGAGAGAGACACGATACGGTTGCTGCGTCCCCCTCGTTGCCTTTCCTCGTGGATTGCTCTATTTACTTAAGTAGCAAATAAAAAGCCAAGGAGAGCAAGCCGCATTTCTCATCACAGACACGAGCTATAAATCCCCCGCAAACATGCAAGCATAAACGTCCAGCCACAACCATACGTGTGATGCCTTCACAGCTGCTGGCGCAGCTGCTGACGACTTGTCGGTGCGCCGGCTGCTCCTAGCAGCGCTCTTGGGCAGCTATCCAAGAACCTTCCAAGTATGGTGGCTAGCGAACTGTTGCAAGAACTTATAGTGTTGTTGTGCCTGTTGTTCCTGCTGCGGTTGTTTCTGTTGCCGCTGCTACAGCTAGCTCCGACGTGCCGCTGCTGTCCGGTGCCTTCTGTGGGTGATAGATGTGAGGAAAACAATGGCGCACAGTCTATTGTTGCTAAAGCTGCATCAGGTTTTCCAGTGATTGTTGCTTTTCCCGTCCTTATCCCCCGGGAAGACGCTCGTTGCCCTGTTGGGAGTAGTTGCTGCCCCTGCAGATGCTGTCAATTTGTAGGCTCAAGGCCCCCTTTGTTGCAGGTCCGCCGATACTGTCACATGATTTATGTGGCTATCAGGCTCCGGTAATGCGGTTTAGGCTCCACATATTGCTTAGGAGTTTTTGGTAGCAGGTTCGAAAGGTAGCAGGCTTGAGCTTCGGGCAGAGCAGCGAATCCCTGAGAGCGCTAAGCTTAAGGCCTCATTCATTCAGGAATATGCTTTAGAGGTTATTTGGCTGCGGATGCTGCTCCTATTATTACTGTTGGTGCTGCTGTTGTCGGCAGCGGCTTCCACTTCAAGTTGAGCGTCCGGAGGGAGCCTGCGCACGCAGCTGCGGCGTTTAGCTACCCTCCTGGGGCTAATGTGTGACAGCGTCTTGAGGTAGAAGTCACGAAGGTCGAGAATGAAGTGGAACTGTAGAGGGCAATCAAAGCAGTTGTAGCAGGAGGGGGACGTTGCCGCCTCAGCAGCAGCAGCCGTTACGCCGGTGCACTGCTCGGGCAATGTCGAGAGTGAAAAATATCATAAAGAGAAGAAACTGACCAAAAAGAGGTATGCTGAATTCCCTGAATCATAACAAACGCATGTGCAGCAGCAGCAGCACCAGCAGCAGTACCAGCAGCAGCAGCAGCAGCAGCAGCAGCAGCAGTATAACCAGCTGCTGCTGCTGCTCCACAGACCAGCAGCAACGGCAGCCTTAGCGCCCTGCGGGCAATGAATATTTCTCGCACTATAGTTTAGCTGAAAAGAAATGTATTTTTTCCTTTATCTCTTTTACTGATTTTAGTTGCCGATGCACCTGAATATGTAGTCCAGCTCCCCAACTTCCTACCCGTAGGGCTTCGATTGCGGAATGTCGATACAGCCGGTGGACCCTTGCTGCGAGGTGCTGTGGCAGTGGGTCGTCATGAAGGGACAATTTCAAAAGATGTTGCACTAATTCATACATATTAACTAACTTAACCAGGCCTACTGTATCAAGGATTTTTGGATGTGGCTTCTTTCGTAGCCCGTTAATATTCACGGCTTCTTGAGGGCTTAAATTGCGTATAGATATGTTTTAGTGTGAAGGGTGAGTCCCCATATTTGACCGATACATCAATATTTTTGCTATATGTCGCACTTTATAGTCTTTGTCATTGTTGGGGCAGAGTCCCTTCGGGAAGCGAGGGGAAGAAAACAATCTTTGTCCTCCAACAGCATAGTGTGATTGCTGCAGCGGTAGGTGCTCCGGTTTGCCCAACACATTCGTGGGCTTTTCGCCATCTTAGGGGGATTCAGCAGTATTATGTGCTAGTGTCGACAGAAAATCAATACTATAGTGGACAGCGTGTCCCCGTGGAAGCGTGCGTGTAGCTTCCTTCATGGAGGTGGTGTCACCTCGAACGCTGTTGGTCGAACTAAATGAGGCCTACAGCTTAAGGCAATGGCGCTGACACCAGAGATCGCTACTCTGCCCCTCGAGGGGCGTAGCGAAGAGTCGGGTGCTAAATTATCCCTTGGTGAGGGGCTGCGGTTTCTGAGATTGCTAGTCTTAGGTTTTGGACAATAGCAGACCCTACAGGTAGGGGAACCGATAATTCGTAAACTTTACGACGTAAACTTTTAGCAGCAAGGTCACGCACTGGCAAGTCTTCACTGGAGTGAAGCAACAGATTACCACTTTGCTGAAAAGAGAATTTATCCCGCTCACTACTCTCCCACACAATATTCTGTGCAACTCCATGAGGCCAGTTGGTGCTGTGGCCATGGGTCTTAGTGCAGCTTGACCCTGCCAGCAGGCGTATAGGCACACAAACACACACGTGATTTCCCATAAACGCATCTGAATAAATCTAAGCTACAATATTCATGCTTCGTCTAGATATGCATCAACATTCTGACCTAGAAAACGTTGGCAATAGGTGTTTTTGTTGGCGTGGGAGGCGGCCGGAGTGCTATTGAGGCCGGAGAGCACAACCTTTTACTCGAAGCCTCGGAGCGTATTTTTTCTTCCCCACAGCATTTCTAGGTCAGCTCGAACAGGAGGCAGTGGAAAATGAGGGACAGCTAGTGCGGGAATTTGATACTTGATGGTTGATCGCCTTGCACATTTTTCTGGCCCCTGAAGCGCCTTCGTACAAGTCAATCATGGTAGTCGGAGCAGAGTTACGGACACAGATCAAGCCAATCCATCCATTAACTGGCAGCTTCGTTACTTCTTGCTTGGACTGCGAGTTGGTCCGCTGGCCACCTATAAGTCGGAATTTTACTACTAAGCCTGGCATGAGGAGGATCTGCTTGTCAGGTCGGCTCTTTGGTGAAAGCCCTATATGACACTACTTCAGAACACTATTTGATGTGTTTTACGCAACTCGAGTACCTGCAAAATCACTTTCTGCGCTCCGTCGGACCCTATCCGATGTTCGAAGCGCCTGTAATCGAGAAACGCGGTGAGCCAAACTGACCCTCCCTCGTCAGCCTCGTCATGTAGAGGTGTATGTTCGTGTTCACCTATCACGCGTCTCTCTCGCAGGTTTATGGCCAGCGCACTTCCAAATGCTCAACACTAAGAAACACTAAGGGTTTTTGCGCCCAGAAAAGTGTAATTAGCGCACTTTCGTGCCAATATGGTGCCCAGAAATAGTTTCGGAACGATTCAAAGATTGCAATCTAGAAATTTCGTTGTCAACTAATGCCACGTTATAATTTAACTAGCTCAAGTATACCTAGACTACTCAAGTAATATACGGCTATTCTTTTAGTTGGATCAGGCTTCGAAGTAGAGCTAGCCGAAGAATCCGTCAGGATGGGGCACGCACCTGGTCGCTTACCCAGGACAATGGCGACGACTCCTGTGAGATTTACTTCGTGAATTTTTAAAACTTTGATGACCGACGCTCGTCGCTTTGATCGCTCATGCAACAGGTGATACACCTAATAAGTTACTCACTCTACTAAGAAAACTAGAAATATGAAAGGTGCAGCGGTCTTCAGTATCATACATTAAAGATTTTGAGAGTAAAACACAGTTGTTAGTGTGGAAACTTTAATTTTGTGGCTATGCACAGACGCACATTTTTGTGTGCCTCTCTACGGTTCCACCTACATAAGCTCTACAATTCAGAGTGGAACTGACAATAATAGTCTAGCACTCGTAAAATAATTCCAGTTGTGCTCTTTTGATGGAGGACAATACAGGAGCACTGGCTCCCGTGGCTCAGCTGGTTAGAGCGTTGGTCTTATGAACCGAAGGTCAGGGGTTCGACCCCCCTCGGGAGCATTCCCCCTTCCTCAAGGATCTCGTGCATTCCATCGTGCGCACTAAAGCTAAAGGAGAAATGGCGGGCGCGCAAATGTTCCTCTGGGGTGCAGTTGACCTCAATGAGCGTCCGCGGGCAGTCGTCAAACACAGCAGTGGTCGTCGGATGTTCTACTCAGCAGTGGGTAGTGGTTTTGAGGATTAAGCGGAGTGAGTGCGTAGGGCGCTCCTTCTGCACCAGTACTATATGGCGGTGTTACTTCAAAGACAGGATACTTACAAATCCAATGTACTTATTGCCGGGCAGAACTCAAACTGCACTTCTGTGTCAACAATTTAAGGCGCTTCTTGCTTTTAGAAACGCGCTGTTCCTATTGTGAAATGCTTAGCTTAGCGTTGCTCAGTACACATAGGCTATACCTGATTTAGGCGAAAGAGGCCTTGCCGAATGCCACGACGCCCATCTCACTTCCTCTTGCTTAGTAGCTCGCCATCAGTGCGGAGCTATGCATGCGGCAGTCTTCTATCTAGCGAAGAAAGGATCTAAACTTCTTCCTGAGTCCCAATCTTGCTCCGTCTACTCCCATCCTGTTGCTGTGCGTCGCATAGGGGCGTCTCCCGGGTCCAGTGCGTGTAGGAAAGCAACTCGGATGTGTTGTAGGGAGAGGGAAAATCGATTCTGGTTCTCTGACAGCGCTTGTTTCGTTCTGCTTGTGCGACTGCCCATGCTACTCGCACTTGCTTGCGCAAATGTAAGAAGACCTCGGAAGATGGGATGGCGCGTAACCTGTGGAGCATGGTGGATGCCGTCATATGGGGGTAACGCAAAGCCACTTTGCATCCATCCACATTCAGCTGTCACCTGTCCACATGCTGGACCTACACTACTTAATAAATACTAAAATGAGCATTTTCTGCGCAGTCAGATCCTAGTAACCCTGAAGCAAAGTAGTGTACCAGATAGTCGGCAGCAGGCGACTGTACCCAATCAAAAAGTACTGCAGCACAGTAGAGCGCTACGATAATCACAGAAGGCTCATGTTGCTCTTTCGGAGAGACAAGTGATAGGGTTCTACTGTCTACGCACGAGAAGCGTATTGGCTGCAGGGAAAGCCAACAAATATTATACAGACAACCCATTGGATGTCAAAAGTAACGCTATTTCATGAACCACTATGAGACAGGCAACACCA